TTGCAGGTCTGGAACTCATTGAGAGAATACACGCACAAAAAAACACACACTCTCAGACTTTTTGATGAACTCTGAGTAGGAGGAGGGAAAGGGGGAGAGATAGAAAAACACTGCTTCTCATACTATCCCCCAAATCTCACAATTTTACCCTGAAATTCCAAATTTTCTCAAAAAATTGTGTCTGCTTCCATAAAGGATCTTTGCTTTCTCTCTTCCTGTCTTGAAGTACTGAGTGCTGGTAGAGGCTTTGACTGCTCATGTTTTCTGTGGAAGAAAATGTCCACTGAAATGCCACAGAAGAAGGCACTAATTCCCCAGATGCTCCTCTAAAGCTGCTAAAACACCAAGGTTTAAAACTGAGTGGACTGTACGTGGCATTCACTACTGTGGAACTGTTTACTTCTGTGGTGCAATGTTGCAGAAAAACATTATTTATGCTCAGTGTCTGCATAAATTGAGGTTTAAGAGAATGACCATTACTAGTCCCAGATCCCAGATCAGGTTGTAAACCTCTAGATAGATTCCAAGCTAACGTTTGGCCTATTTGCAGAAGAATTTTCCTGACTTCACTTACTGAGCAGAAGTCTGGACTGTGGGCTGAGACCGACCTAACAAGGCACGGAAGTGGTTTTCCCTTCTCGGTTTGATTTGTTCAAGGCCCCAAGCTGTTTTTACTCGTTTGGTATCTCCACATCAGCAAAGTGGCTTGTCTGCTTGTGTCCACAGTGCTGAATTTCTGCTGCCTGTTTTTTGCCAGGTGTACACACTAAAAGTTGACTGTAGCATTTTGTCCACCTTTAACTCTAAGAGGAACTTGGCCATTTAAAACCAATCCTTAATCTGTTTTTTTTTAATTCTGGAGGTCAACTGTTTTGTTATCTCATTTGCAGAGTATCTGTAGGCCATCTGTCGTCTAAATACCTCTCACAGTGCTAAATTCCTTTGACAGGTTTATACATGACATTTAGAAAAAAGTGATTAATTTGATCCGTTCACTCAAGAGCCCTGAGCAATGCTCTTAAAGGCAATGTCAGCAGGTCAGTCCTCAAAAAACAGCTAGTAGGCTCATGACCAGTTTAAAGTTGGGGTTGTTAACTACGAGTCAAAACCCAAGATGGAATATGGCTATGTTTCTTTAGTGCCCCTGCATAATAAAAGAGGTGATATTATTTCATGAAGTTGGATCCCAGGTGTAGAATATGAATGTGTTAGTTGGGTTGACTTTTTTTCCCCTTTTCTTCTTAATGATAGATAGTGCATACTTCAGCTGGGGAGCTCTCTGCCTGCCACAGTAGGAGGCACAGTATGTTGGATAGGTCAAATATGTTTCTCTGGATCTGGATAACGCATTCCCCTGTCGGCTGTCAATGAAGTTTAGAAAAACACAAAGTAACTGAACTGTTACAATAACCTTGTTGCTTATGACTCATGCATATCACGTTCATCTCTTGTCTGCAGGGGAAGGCAATCACTGCTCTTGTCTACTTGAATGCGGTGCACCAGCTGACTTGTCTTTTACGGTGGCTGATGCAGTCGTATCTGCCCTTAGTCAGCATCTCACCTAAGAACACAGTAATTACAACACACACAGAGCTCATTCTTTCACACTTTAACTTAGGAGCTTCACACATGCCCCGCTGCAGCGTTGTGTAGCCTTTTCGAGCAAGTCATTTGAGACAGGTCCAAATTACATCTTTAAGTCTTGTAGTAGCAAGTCTCAAGTCATTAAAAACAAGTCCAAGTCAAGTCTCATGTCTTGTCTTGTATAATTTGTGACTTGAGACTTGCTGATAAACTTACTTGGATTCGTCTTGAATGATTTGAGTTAACTTGAGACTTAATAGTGTAAGTCCAAGTCAAGTCTCAAGTCTTTTAATAGTAGTCTCAAGTAATGTAAAAGCAAGTTTCAACTTATTTAAGTCCACGTCGAGAGAGTGTCTGGTCAGTGTCGAGTCATTCTAGAAAAGTCCAAATCAAGCCAAAAGTTGAGCAAAGTGTTTCAGATCTCTGTAGGCCAACCATACAATTAAAAGATTTAGATCAAAATTCAAGTCTCAATTCAAGTCTTTAGGTTGTCGTGTATCAGAGCAGTCAAGTCCAAAACATTTCAAGTCCTCAATATTTTGTGAGTTGAGTCTGACTAGAATTCATGTTCATGTTCAAGTCTACAGCTTTGGTGTTGTGTAAAGGTTTACCTACTCAAAATCCCTCTGAAGAGCCAAAACAGGGTGAAAAAACAGAAGGAATCCATGTGCGGTGAGCCCAGTGATTAAGAAGTGAGGGCTGAGAACAGCTTTCTGTGTGTGAGGTGTGTAACAACCACCCTCTCTGTGTTCCCATCTCTATCTGTCTCTTCTTTCCCTCTACCTCCTTCACTCTCTTCAGGAAACAAAAGTTGTTTGATACCCTTGGTCAATGCTGGCTCTGAGACTTGCCATAAAGTCTACTCTGCCTTGGCCCTGACTCCAAGGCAGCAGTTTTCCTTCCCTCCCTCCTCCCTCCCCAAACAAGCCCTTTTCTCTGGCTGCACCCATGAGTTGCCTTGCATACAGAGTGGGCAGTGTTGAGTCAGTGCTTCTTTCCTGACCCCTGAGAGCTTTGGAAAACCGTCAAGAAAGCTTTCTGTTTGAAAGGCATGCAGGGGTTGACTTTCAGATCTCTTTAAATTCCGTAAGCTGTCCAGACTGTGTCCTTGTGGCTACTCTGGCAAGATGTTACCAGCACCTTGGAGATTTGGAACGTCTTCTCTCATTCGTCATCTAGTTAATCTTCTTTTTAATAGTCTCCCTTATCTAGTACTGTACTGTTCTCCTCGGCACAAACATGGAGGGAAATTAGACTTGTCAGACCATGCACACTTTTTACATTTCCTATGTTCATTCCTCTTTGATGTAATTCTGTACAATATGTGAAATAGTCAAGAACACATTAGTCTATGCTAGCAGCTCTGGGGAGGCTGTCATGCTCATTGAACCAAATTGTTAAATGGATAAGTTAAGGTCAATTGTTGGTTTTTGACCCGTAGTACGAGTGTAAAAGTGTAAAAAATGGTGATGGTGTCAAGTTAAAGGTTTTTGGTAACTCATACCATGTTGTGAGCAGTCCATCCAGTAATTGTTGACATTTCACTATGAACCAAAAATTTCAATCTGCTGATGGTTCTAGATGAAAAGGGTCACTAAGTCATTACGGTCTGGGAACCAGAAATGTCCGAGTCAAATTTTGTGCCAATCCATCAAGTAGATGTTGGTGTTCATCCTCTGAAGACCTGGAATATCTCTACCAAATCTTATGTGAATCCATCTAATAGTTGTCAACACATTCCACTCAAACTCAAAATTATTGTTCGAGATGAAGTCAGGGAATCACTGAAGTTCGTAGGATTCATCCTTTCGGGAACCATGAATGTCTGCACAATGTCCATTCTATAGTTGTTGAGATATTTGGCATGGCTAACAAAAATAGTAGAACAAAATCCACAAGAACAGGAGCTACAGGAACAACCATTAGTTTGAAGATCTGACTATTCTCACAAAAATGACCTGTCTATTCATAATAATAGCTCAGATGAGCAGCCAGCTATAGTATTTTCTTGATGTGATATGAATCTTCAAACCACCCAGGTTATTTATATTATGGTATGATACACTCTCTTACGGTATATTTATTCACTATAAAGTCTATGAATATGATTTTCTGTGCTCTTTCCTGAGTCAGCTAGTAGCCTGCTGTCATAGTTGGATAGAGTACAGAGGTGAAGTATTTTGGAAGTGGGGTTTTGTTGATTGCGGTAATTATGTAAAATGTATGAGATCTGAGCTCTTTTGAGGAAGTTGCCATGCACCTCTTTACACATTCTCTTTTTTTTCTTGGTTTAGTCTTTCCCTTCATGTATCTTTATTTGCTTTAGTCCTGGTTCACAAGACGAGCAGTAACTCATGTGCATAAATAGTCATAATCAGACACTGATGAACACAGCCATCATCAAAACGTCAGTCATTCACCCACACAAACAAAACAAACATTTGTGGTTTTAGCTATATGGGTTAAGGAAGCACAATAGTCATTTTTAGTAACATGGTGAAGCGGTGGCGCTGTAGGGGGGGCTGACTGCTCAGTGCTGATCTCGTTAGAGATAGATTCATGTTTCAGCAAGTCTGCTTTAGATACTCTCTAAACAAATACCATAACCCCTTGATGGAGGTGATGCAGTAACTTCTCAAAACATGTCCTTTTTGGTGTTCAGGATCTTGTTACACCCTTGACTTCCTGGCCAGTTTATATGTTTGCATTAGAGCTGTCTCAGTGAATTCATTAGAAAACGTCAGCAGCTATAACGAGGAGAAAATAAATAGTGGCTCTAAAATATCCTGCATACCGTTAAGTTAGAAGTGTGTTTTCAGAGACCCATTTGTAGCCATTTCTTGTTATTGTTATGGCGACCCAGCTCGTCTGAGCCTGTGGTTATTTGTGCCTGGAGATAAGAGCAGTGGAGTAGCATTTAAGCTGTCAAGCAGACATAATTTGCTTTCCCCAAATCATTTATTCATGACTTGGAAAGGCCAGCTATTCACCTAGCTCCTTACCCACCTCATTGTGCTGTCAGAGTTATTGATGACGTGACTGTATTGTGTCTGCATGCTAATTCACTAACCATGTTTTGTAATATCCACTGTGTCCTCATTGTCCTTCAGTGGACCCTTAACTTTTTAAAGTTGCTATGGACAAAAGCATCATCCAAATGAAACATTAATTCAGTGTTTTTCTTATTTGGCAATATTGCTTTTATGTATGTAACAGACAAATACATGCAAATTATAAATAGTAATGATAAAAATATGTTTGCTTACTGTACCATTGCCGGTGATCGATAATCCTTAGGTTACATTTCTTTGAAGATTGGAATTGGGCATCATAGACATGTACATCTACTGTATATGTTTGTGTTGATTGATTGAAGTTTCTGACTTCTAAGTCTGTTTTTCCTCTTTTTATTAAAGGGAAGATCCTGTTTAGGAGGAGCCATATCAGGGATGTGGCCATGAAAAGGCTAAGGCCCATCAACGAGTACTGCAGGGTGAGTATATTGACCAATAATAAATAATAACTAATACCCTGGAAAACTGTGAAGGTCATATGTTTGCAGTTCATGAAAGCTAAAATGAATATATAAAATTTGCCAGCGCAAGGACTAAAATCAAGGTAGAAAGTACAGGGGTCTGGGGAAAAGAAAAACAAGTATCCCACCCACGTTGTATTAACTTAGTCATGAACAGGAAAATGGAAAATAATCTTTTCATGCCCCCTGTGTATATATGAGCAACACAAGTCGCTCATTCTTTCAGCACATTCAGGATTACCTGACCATCTGATTTCAAGAGAACTGGTTTATGTTTGAATAATGTGTTTTGTGACACAGTTACTGTATTTGCTAAAAATTCAAACACATGGTTGAATTAATTAAAGTTAAGTTCATAGTCACACTGCACAATTTGCATAACAACAAGATTTATAGCATTACATTGTTCCAAGAACAGCTGTCTGAATACTGCCATTGTCCTTGCCTTTTAAATTGCCAGTGTTTGGTTTGTGCCATGCTAAACCCCCCTGGAGCAAGCCTTCGTGACAGCAAGCATCAACCCTGCTGAGGTGTTCTAAAAGCTCCCCAGGTGCTCTGTAGATGACTGTGACCTCTCTGCTAAAGGAGACAAACTAAAGGAGAATTTCTCTCCGGGGATCGATAGTGTATGAGCAAAAATCTGTTTCTGTGTAGCTAAATGCGAAGAATATGTCATTCTACCTCCCAAATGTACAGTAAACCCCCACGATCCCTGTGGTCAAGAGAATTTATAAATGGACTTTATGCTGTGAAATTGCTGTCAGTGACAGAAGAAAAACAGGATGGACTTTGGTAGAGGGTAGAAGTGTGTTGTAATGTGTTAGTGGTGTCTGTTTTACCATTTAAAATACTGCAGTTCTTTCCACCAGTAAAAACAGAGATGATATAAAACCTACGCGTTATCCAGCTCATTACATGGCTTTTTACCGAAGAGATTAATCACTTGGCCTCAAGAAAGGGGGGGGAAAATGCTGTTAAAAAAACCTGTACATTCTCAGGCTCCAGTGTAGCAGAACTGCAGCCATAAAACTGCCAATAGCTAGCAACTAATTGCTACAATTTGACAGAAATGTAACCACAGCAACCTCAATAAAGACATTGTGATTGATGTTCAGCTTCTTAGCAACAAGACACAGTTTTGTGCCCTTGGAGTAAATTGTTTTAAAATTTCCATTTTTTCTAATTTAGCTTACCAACTGTTTATCAGCAGTAACCAATGAGTGAGTCTGTTTTGCAACCAGGGGTCATTGCTTTTTATGATCAAGACATCTCCAAATGGATATCTTTGCCACAAAGTCACATGATTTAGGTGTATAACAGGGAGGAAGAGCTGTTGTTGGGTCTGCTGTTCTGGTGGTAACTATTTGCACAGAGTTGCGCCGAAGGCAGAGGGCTCGGTGGTGCTGAGCTTGCTCTAGTCAGCACATCCACAGCCCATAGGTTATGTTTTTGTTAAATTTTACTCGCTTGCCGTAGGGCCTCTAAACCATAAGCACCTCCTTCAGTCTGACTATGAGAGAGGAAATTTGATGATGTTTTTACAAGTTACTGACTTCTGCCTTACTCATGCCTTGGTGTATTTTCAACTGTATTATTTTATCACATCTCCGTAAAGTGTCTCATGAAACCACCACTGCACAAATAAGTTTCTGATATGGTGTTGATGAGCCTTTTGTCACTCCTCTCTGAATAAAATAACAATTCACAAGGCCTCAGAGTGAAGAGAAAGGTTTTATGTATGATAAACAATGCTGAGGACTGCTGGGGACTATACAGCTCTACTTCACCAAGTATCGTCTGGGGTTAAAGGAATGTACAGCTGGGGTAGGCAACATCTTTAACCACTTATGTGAAAAATAAGAGTTTGGGGGAGGAATGGGTAGAGTTGTTGGTTCGTGTCTATGGGTGTGGATGTTTATGGGAATAGCTGAGCCACACTAGTGGCTGACTGCTGCAATCAAGGTTGTTGTTGCTAATGTCTAAAATCCTATAACAGATTTACCTGTTGAGGATTGTTTTGAGGATTCCAACTAAATGTTATTGATATTTTCACATCATGATTTTGCTGAAGAAAAAAGAATCGGATTCATGAATTTTACCTGGTGAACTTCCACCACTATTATTAGCATTATGTGGAGTGGAAATTAATAGAATCCTTTTGCACTGCTTTTAAATTTGAGCAATGGAAAGACACAACTTGCTAGTCAGTGAGCTAAATGTTAGCATAAACAGTGTCTGTCACAAAGTTCAGCCCTACGATGGCATCATGGAAGGTCAGATCTTAGAATGCAGTGTTGTCAGTGCATTCTGGGTATTGAAATAACTACTGAAACAAATATGAATTTGACTGTAAGCAAAAAAAAAAAAAGCCTTTTCATCCACCCCCACATGCAGTCAAGTTGACAAGGTGAAACTTCATGTTTTTCTTCGAGAAGAGCTGATTCAGCCCTTCTGTTGCACAGCTGAGGCTTTAACCTGACTCATATGGAATTTCCCCAGTTGTAAAGTCTTATGTTTTTATTCAAGTCAGGACACAGTTGGGAAGGAAAGAAAGAACATGGAACCAGGGATTGTTTGCATAAACCAAGTGTAAGACTGCTGAGCTAGGAGGACTGAAAAGGTCACACAGTTTGATGCACATCAAAGAGCCTATTTAGGTATTAAAGCAACTTCCACCTGACCTTCATTAATACATATTCAAAAGATGTGTTTGTAAGTGAAAGCATAACATTTTGCATTGATAATACCTCAAAATGTTCTTTTATTCTGAGGCCTTTTTGGATAGCAAATGCTCACAGGAAACACATGTGCACACACTCAAGCATACACCAGCACAGGCAGAGGCAGAGGCACAAGCACACACAATTACCTTAATGCTGCCTGCTGTAAAGAACACCCATAAAGTCCATTTGCTGTAATGTACCCCGAGCCTCCCTCCCGTCTCCTCCCTGGGGAGAATTGTAATGAGTGGACGGGCCACAGGCTGACACGAGCAGAGGAATAAATCCAAGGAGACGATAGCCAGTTCAGGATGGACTATGACCTCAGGCATAGTGCAGCTTTCTGCACTGCTGGACTAGATACTGGGAGGGGGGGTCCTCTGGAGGTCACTAGTTAAAACTCTTAAATCAGCTACTTGGCTTGAGTGTCTCAAGATGTGGATTAAGCTACTGTAAAAAGGAGATGATTCCAAGGTCATGTTGATGCACAATAATCTAGCAATATTATATGAACCATGAATTGACAAACATGTAAGTGGGCACACATGCACACTCCGTATGACTTTGCGGCTGATTGAAAACTCTAGTAATACTTTGTTCATGGCAGTAGTCCCACTCCTTTCCTTCGGCACAAGCTGCTGGCATGAACTGATGGTCATAAGAATGACAAGGCAAATGTGGCACATGGGACAAGGGCACCTTGGTTGGTCTTTGGCTTCTGTTCCATATCCATCAGCCCTGACGTTATATCAGTGTGTGTCAGAGAGTGCGAGAGGTAGACAGAGACTCTGCCCCCTTAAAGGACTGAGCTGAAACACTTAGGAGTATTAAAATCAGAGGTAGAGGCCAGCAGAGGAAGCTTGATGGATAGCATTGAGCATTGCTTGCCAGCAAAAAGAGAAGGAGTGGCTTAGTTCCCTTAGCTGTAAGAGAGATAGTCACTATTGGGTCGTTGGCAACAGTTATTCTGTCTTCTAGTTTGGGGCATCAAGCTGTTGAGGTGATTATCTGTTTCACTGCTTGCCCTTCAGTGAATTGGTTGAAAGAGTATGAGAAGCAGATAAAACAGACTCAGGAGAGAACAAAAAGAAGGGCCAGACACAGAGAGCGATAACATGACTGGCAGTGAGAGAGAGAGAGAGAGAGAGAGAGAGAGAGAAAACACCAATGAAGACAAAGATAAATGTGGATGTTTGTCTTTCATCTCCAGCCGTGTTGTCAGGATTCATCTCTCTGTTGCTAGTGATCCTCCACAGAGACATAAGATTAGGGAGGAAGGTAGGCGAGACAGATCAATGAGCTGAGCACTGGACCAGCAAGGAAAACGGAACCAGCTGCTGTGATTGAAAAGCACTGCAAACAGAGAAAATTACTTATTTTACTTATTGATGTGCTTTTAATTCTCATAATTTTTCTCTTCATACTGAAATTGAACACCAGCAGTGACTATACCAATCAATATTACAAACTAGAAATAATGTTAGAAACTAGAGGGCACAGAGGCTGCACGATACTCAAAAAGTGTTATTTTAATACAATTTAAAGTAAAGGAAAGAAGGAAAGTGTTAACTCTATAACTTCCATGTCTGTGTGGGAAGATTGTACACAGGTAATTGACAGGAAGCATACATTTATTTGTTTGAAAAATTCTGACGAATGAACATCAGACAAAACAAGTTGCCCACGAGTCTGAGAATTCCCTTTAATGTAATAATTGTCTGTGCTTGGAGACCAGACACGCAATGAACACTATATTTAACCTCTGGTTAACTTCTGCGTGTAACAAGATGATTGTACTGTACAGTGTGTACGATTACCTAAGTTTCCTGCTGTCTTTTGTGTCTGCAGGCCCTCATTCAGCTGCCAGTCTACATCTCCCAGTGTGAGGAGGTCAGAGTGTTTTTTGAGACTAGACCTGAAGACCTTAACCCACCCAAGGAGTAAGTACCACACATGTACACAAACTCGCACGCACATCTCCTTAACTGTTAAAGGCTCGCATACAATGGCAAACACTTATCATTGTTCCACTGACTCATGTCGTGTCACGTCCTGCCACATTTTCCCCCAACCTGCCAGGAATTAGCATTCATTATACCCTCTAATGGATACAATTTCTTACTGTTTTTTCAAGCTGAAACACACGTAATGGATCCTTTTTAAATGCTGAGTTAGCGCTTAAGCATGTAGTTGCAGATCAGTTCAGCCAACATGGCTCCAGACTGCTGAGGCTGCTCTGAAGGTGTGCAGACCTGCTCTGTCTCTTTTAAATCTCACTCAACAGATTAGCGTCATACCCAGCAGTGACAGTTACAGTGTGCCAAAACTAAGACATCATCGAGCAATGAAGGCCAGCGTCCAGCACACACAAGCACGTGTTGACACACACATAATTTCACACAGGACTCAGTTACAGATGTGTTGTTATTAAAGCAAACAGCACCTTCAGGGCAGTAGAGGTTACGGATGGCTGGTTTCATAGAGACCATAATATGAGGCTCACATTTTGACCCTGGAGAAGGTTTTTACACCAACAGCTGTCAGCTGACTTATTCGTTTTAACCTCTCTGTCATCACATACTGATGTGTGGCACTGGGCGTTGAGAAGTTACCACAGTCGGCAGGAAATTCAGTTATTAAGTCCTGCGATATATGCAGGGAGTGCATGCAGGGCGTGCATGCAGGGCCGGCAGTAAGCCAGCACATAGAGAGTGGGTTTTTCAATTTTGAAGACTTATAAAATCTGGGTCATAGAAGTGAGATCCCTTAAAGGACCAGTGAGTAGGATTTATAAGACTCACAACCCAGTCTCTAAACACTTTGCTTAATACAGTGGGAGGGCTTTGTTCCAGCTTTTGTTGCTAAAACTGGGTGGAAACCAAAAAAGACCTGTATTGCAGAACCAATGCTAAGTCTTTAGGCATATGCTGAAATCATGTGCTTATAAACCATATAAACGTGGCTTGGGACAAAAAAAAATGCTCTCTCTGTGTTACAAAGTGATATGCTTTATCTCCAGTTTGTTTTTTTATTGAGGAAAATGGGGGTAGAGCATTGTTTTTAGGTAAGGTGTGTGGTAGTACATTTGTTAGCAGCTGTTCTCGCCGGCATTCAAGCAACTACTTTGCATTTAAAAATTCCAAGATGATCGGTAGGCACTTTAGTGGCATCTAGTGACAAACGTAGAGATTGTAACCAACTGAATACCGCTCAAATTAGTGAAAAGTGTGTAGGAGAAACTAAGGAGGCCACGAAACTTGTGCAGACACGCGAAAAGCCTTATCTAGAGCCAGTGAGTTTTTGTCTGATCTGGGTTACTGTAGAAACATGGTGGTTCAAGATGGTTGACTCAATAAAAGAGGACCCCCTCCCTCTATAGATAAAAATGGCTTATTCTAAGGTAATTAAAGTACAATTTATGAAAAATATACTCCATTTCTGCCAATAAATCATCCTAAATATTGCACACTGCACCTTTAAAACAAACTTAATAGTATACTACTGTACTGCACTAATAGTTTCAACCTAACGTAACTGTTCACTACAGGATAAATTATTGCACGCCATCATTTTGTACTACTGTTAGCAAAATGTTAGAATATGTATTACTGTTTTCTGAGCTGTCCCCTGTTGCATCAGTATCTACTTTATGTACTTTGCACTGTGCGTTCCATTCACCATATGCTGCTATTTTCAAATATACATAATTTGTCTTTTTTAACTCGTCAGTTATTATAATGGCTTTAAGAAAGATATGTTCTCTAGCACAGCTTAGTTCAGGCAGCCACAGTACTGCACCTGCCTAGTGCCGGTGTGAATTTGTCTTTTTCATGTAACAATTGCCCCCCCGAGTCCCCTTGACATTTAATCTCAGTAAAACTGTTGAGCAAGTGGAACTGCAAAATGTTGCTCCAATTTTGGATTTATTCTAAGTACTGGAGCTACTGGTGTATTTGTGATTTTCTGTGACAGTCTTTGCAGTCTCTGTTCTTTTCAGCCCTTCCTTCACTGTGAAACAGGGACAGCAGGCATTTGCTGTCTGCCACAGTGTTTTGATGCCACAGTGAGAATATTAAAACTCTGCACATTGTGGCTTTAGATTTATTTAGAAACGGTTTATTTTAAAGTTTAGCTAATAACATTATATAATGTAATTATTACAGCATTTTGTTTAATGCTACACAATATTTACATTCATATTGTTAGTATTCAGCCAGTGTCTACCAGGAGTGACTTACACTGAGTGAGCAGCTGGGGGTTCTTGCTCAAGGACAATTAATAGGCCACATTGCTGTTACTGTTATGAGACGGGTACTTGCACCAGCCTGCCATATTGTATAATGTGGATGGATTTAATGTCAGTTTGAAGTGCACTGTCTGTTGCAGGCAGGTGGTTCACTGAGTTTGCTGTATTGCTCAGGCCTGTGATAACAGATCAGAAATCATCAATCAGAATTTTGTGAATGTGTCACTTGCAGCGAAGCGTCTCTTGTCCCAATGTTTTTACTAGTGTTATAAGCATAAAAACCTTTAACTTTCCCACAGAAAGAAACTTCATATCTGTGTGTAATCTATACACAATATATGTATACACACACACATTTTGTCTTCTGTCCTCCCTCAGAGGAGGTTGCCAAGGACACATACCTCCTTACTCCTCATGCAAAACCCCAAGCATGTGTTGGGAGAGGCAGGAAAGAGACGGAGCATTTACTCAAGGCAGATGAATATAGGAAAGACCTTGGTTTGTCTTTATTGAAATTGGATTACTGCTTTCTGCTAGTGCAGCCTGTTGTTTGGCTGACTGACAACAGGGCTGGTGTACAGACACAGCAGCCGCTGTGGGAGAAGATTTATCATGGCCTATAAATCTACTACACTGAGAGGGACATCTTAGACTTTCTCCTTAAGAGCAGCAAAGTAAGAGGAGAGGAAAAGGAATACTTGAATGTAAAAAGGAAGTAGACAATCATAGAACCAGAAAGAGGGTTGAGAAGTGACGTAGAATGTAGAAAAGAGGAAGTGTTGGGGGCAAGGAAAGGAAAATAGAAAGTAACAGAGATCATAGGGGAAGAAAATGGAACTACATGGTGAATCAAGATGTAATAAGAGCTGGATAGAAACGGAGCTCATATAGGGCTAGGACAGAATGCGATGAAGGGATGGGTTGAGGTGAAATAAGGAAGGGTGGGGATAGAGGGAGAGAGAGCTTATGAGAGGAGGGATTTAAACAATAATGTGTGAGTTAGGCATGGAATAATATGAACATTTCGTGGCACAGTTATCCTGGCTAATTGAATCACAAAGAGACCTCAAATATGCACCTATGTATAGTATTTCCACACATCTAGTTTAACTTTTTGTGGGGAATACAATGGGAGAACCAAGCCTTAAGCCATGGTGACATGCTTATGCTTTTTGAATGACTGCAAAGATGTGGGCTCCACCATCAGGAAATCAATATAGGACTGTACAACAGCTTTCTCAAGTAACTCATATGTGGATATTCACTATTATCCCGATAATGTAAATTCACTACAATAAACTGTCCTATTGCTAGAATGGTGTAGAACTTAGTAGCTTTTATTTAACAGATCTGAACAATCAGAGCTTAGAGTGAATATATATTAAATATATATAATAATCTCCTGTAGCAGAGGGTAGAAAAACATTGCATCATTTGCCTATTTTTTTTTTTGTGACGGCAAACCTGTTAAATGTGGTCTCCAATTCCCCCATTCATTATGTCAGTGGCGACTACATGACTCAGGCATAACTGCCTGTTGTGAATGTTGTTGTTTCTTCATAACCAGCTTCAGAGCAACATGGAAACTTATAAGTGGGAGGATTCATTTGATTTGATACTCTAAACTAGTTACAGTAAATAATCATATTAAGGATCCAGGTCATTGGCGATGTCTGGTGCATTACGTGACCCTGGTTTCACTTCTGTTCAAAACAAGCAATAAAAAGCATGCACATATTTTGACGCACACGTTCCTGCTCTATAATAATCCAGAGCATTGGTACTGCTTTGGTTGGCCTGGACAGGGATTTCTTTTTATAGTACGTTAATGGGCACACTTGTGGGTAAAGATTTATTGAGACTTAAGCCTCTGCAATTAACAGTTCTGCCGATCGAACAATGCTTTATGTGCCTGAGAGCATTCATGTTGATGCAGGGAAATGAACAAGCGGTAGGTGCCAAGGAAAATGATCAAGGGAGATGAAGGAGTAAGTTAAGTACACATGGAAGATGTGAGATGGAAAAAGGGAAGGCGAAGGAAGGTCATAAAGTGAGAGAGTGATATTTAGATAACAAAGAGGGAGAGGCAGAGGGAGTGAGAGAGTAAAATGCTGAGCATTACCCACCATTGACTTTTCAGGGCATCTGGACATTGAATCAGCCCCTGGCTGCTGCTGTGGAGTGATGGTCTATTTATCTGGCTAATGTCTAAACCAGACACAGCAGATGCTGTATTGAATTTAACATCAGACTAAATTTCAGAGATCAGCTCTTTGGAGGCTCTCTATTCACATCAGCCCGAATCAGAGAAAGAGGCAGAGAGACGATCCTTTTTCTGTGTGTCGGTAGCATATTAAAACAGATAACGATTATGTTGGCAATTATTGTTAATTCTTGCTGGAGTAATCAGTGTAAGTGTTGTGCTGTGGGACCATGACAAATTCAAAAAACGAATGAAACAATTAAGAATCTGACCAAATTAAAGCTATTCAAAGTTTGTTGAAAAAGCGTCATTAATGCCAGTTTGCCACACAAACTTAATAACTGAAAACATCAATTGTAACAGAGATCATACTAGTGACAGCAGTAGTAGTATAATGAAATAAATGCATAAAATAAACCACCAAACCCCTTGGAACACAGTAATTAACTATTTGTTTCTGCAAAGTATAGATTAGAAGATCAGTCACTGAAAGTACTATAATTATTTTTCAAATTTTAATACATTTTTTGAGATTATGTGAATTATTATAGATATTGATAATGCTATTTGTTGGTCAGGGATATATTACTAGCTCAGATTGTCTCCAGTAGTAATGTGATGATGTCCTCTCTTTAACAGGGAACCCATTGGAAAGAAGAAATCAGGTAAGACAATTGTATTTGTTTGAATTGAAAATGGGCTGATGGCCTTGGCTATGGTGTGTTATTTTGTCTTTTGAAGAAAAAAAATAAGTGCAGGAGAAATACAATCAGGTACTTTTGTTGTTTTTTCTGCCTTTATGGGCCTCCATTTTTATGACTTCCTTTATTATAGAAGTCTTCTATACTTGATCTGTAGTATATAATATGGCTATATCTCCATCTAGTGGTCACAGAGTTTTTCACAGGTAAAAGAAAAAATGGATTCCCCCAGCTCAAATGTTCTTGTTTCGTTAACAAAGACATATGCAGTCTGTACTCAAATGTTTCAGTTGTTTTCCTGGAGTTGACTGTTATGGTACCAGTAACAAAGAAACAACCTTTGTCATTGTTCGACTGCTCAATGTTATATTCTCTCTATCCTCTTCATCTAATATTCTTATGTTGCATCCATGTCATTGTTTTCAGTTTTCTTCTCCATTCATTTTCCTTTCCATCAGGGATTGTGGAGCGAGCGACTACTTTCCTAAAGCGAGGTAGTAAACACTTGGTCGTGCTGTGTGTTTGACCCAGTCGGTTGCTAGTGGCCTGTTCCCCCTCTCCTCCCCTTGGCCTGGGCAGGTGGGATGTGGCTCTGTTGAAGGCTTGGGGCTTGCATAGGTTCCATAAGGGAAGCATACAATATAGTTGGAGGTCTTCAAACCCTGTGTGGTTCATTTCTTGGGTGTAATTTAGGTATGTTGCTTTAAGACAGAGTAGAAAAGATTGATTGATTGCAGAAATAATGTGAGTGTATGTGGTAAGTAATTTGATTTGATTTGAATAGTTAACCTGAGTTTCTTGGATTAGCTTGTTAGTCGAGCTGATCTTACAAGTTCAACCTAGCCTAGAATGAATAAATAATGAATTGATTTATATTTTCCCAAAGTTTTTAACCTCAACCTGATATCAGTTTCCCCTCGACTGCTTCTGAGAAATGTTTCCATAACTAATATGCTAATTTGTGATTGATTGTATAGATTTACTATTGCACTGATTAACTGAAGAAAAGTTGCTAATTAAACCCATTGGCTGCTGCTCACTGAAGGATGTACATAAAAAGATGTGGTATTTTAAGGTGTTTTAATAACCACACAAATATAACTTTACCACATCTGTACATTTCAGATTTTCACATTATATTGAACTCATCTGCTGAGACCTGTTGTCTGCTTGTGTGTTAAGATGAGATGAGATAGACTTTATTGATCCCACACTGGGGAAATTCACTTGTTATGAACACATTTGTTGAAAATGTGTTTATCAGCACCTTCAGTGATCTGCATGCTTTGGTGGATTTTAATGTTCCTTTCACCATCCGTGCAGTTGATGCAAAGGCATACAGATTGTTAAAATTGCAACGTGTCAACTGGAAGGTGTTAATTTAATATATCAGGATTTGTTCTCAACTTTGTAAAGAATATAAGTCAAGAGGAAAAAGCTATAGTGATGTGAGTTTGTGCTACTGGTTGTATTGTGAGCCCTCATGTGTTGACGTAGGTTTTCCTCAGGCTGGCCTGGTGCTAACATTGGTGGTGGGTCTTAGTGGTGCTGGTTTGTTTCTGTGTGGAAGTCACAGCCACGTTGATGATTGACTTAACACTCCATACTTTTTAAATCCCTGCCTTTCACTCCCATTTTTTTAAATCTCCCATTATCAGCTCATTGTTTCCCTCACGCCATCTCTCCAATCACATCCACTACCTCCTCTGCTTCATGTCTGGGTGAATCTCCATACTCTAGATAAGCCTCCTCTCACTTAAACTTTTTAAGCTTTTGTGCAAAATTTAACCTTGGAATTAAAATTGGCATTTCATCGAAAATGACTTGTTCATTTATTATAGCTCCACAGATGCATTTTGGCTGTTTTGTAAAGACCATGCTTAAATTGGATTAGTTAAGTTATTTGAAGGGCCTATAAAATCTGACATTTTAAAAAGGTTATATTCCCTTCAGTCAGTGAGATGCAAGGGATTTTAAAGGCCAATATCTCTTATCTCTGGTGATTCCACATTCATGGACATCCCTTTAATATCACATTAACAAATATTATCACAGATCCTTGGTGGAAAGCAGATGGCAATGATTAGAGGCTTATTTACATTATTGAGACACCCTTAGCTTCCTAACAACAAAGGAGCAGAAAGGAGAAAAGGGCTAAATGAGCCTCTGTTCTGATTTGTTCCTCTCAACAGGAGATTCCACATCAGCAGACCCTCTCCTCCTCGACCAGTATGTGGCAGTAACAGACTATGAGAAGCAGGAGAGCTCTGAGATCAGCCTGCATGTGGGTCAGGTGGTGGAGGTCATTGAGAAAAATGAGTCTGGTAAGTTATATACTGCATTCAGTATTTGCTTTTATTATTTTCTTAAGTTTAGATTGTGCAAAGGTTGCTGGTTTAAATCGGTTATGCATTTCGACAACGAATTACCACAATTACTTACATTTTCTCAAGATATCTTGTATGTCAATGTGTCCATATTCTGCTCATTTAGGGTGGTGGTTTGTGAGCTCAGAAGATGCCCAGGGCTGGGTCCCTGCCACCTGTCTCGAGGCACAGGATGACCCTGATGACTTTACTTTTCCAGGGGAAGAAGGTACAGAAACTTTCCATCTGGGTTATATTGTTTAGATTCAGTACTTCTTCAAGAAAAGGCTTAGAATGTAAAGAAGTCCATTTAGCATTTAATCTCAAACCCACTGTATGTGCAAGTTATTCCTTCCCTTTGAAATAATGA